CCGTAACTGATTTAAACTTCCTCGTCAGTATTTGACGTGTTTAATGAGTAAATCCTTCAGATATTTTGGTGAAACATTTAAATTTTAAATAAACACTCCTGTGTTTCAGTTCTCTGTCAATGGATTGAAAAATGTAATCAGATTAATCGCACTAGCGGTGTGGCTAATCATGATTAATCACTATGCTTAACTCTGGAAGCTTGAAGTGTAAAAATAAATACTGCTTTGGTTTAATAAAGCAAAATTTACCGCTGAGGTCAGCAGTCTGACTCATTTATGTCTCTGCATTGTTGACCGCAGTACAAGACCGTGTAACGCGCTGCTTTTTAGATTAATCACATGCACTAAAGCATTAATCTTGACAGGCCTAGTATGTTTATTTAAAGTCTTGTTTTCACATTACATATTCCATAAAAACCTCAAACTGAACTTATTAAATGAATTTTCTGCCTTTTGTTTCTGGCTGCAGGTGAAGATGAGCTCCTGGAACAGAGAGACTCCAGGCTCTTGGTACAGTCAGTTTGCCTCTGGCAGCAAGGTCAGTAAACCAGAAAGGTTTTAACTTTCCTCCACGACTCCTGAGTTTCAGCATTTCTTTCCTCTCTCCTCACCTGCTCAGTTCTCCTATGTGGACTCCAACGGCGCGCCCGTAGGCGTGGTCCAGATGGGCTTCTTGCGCCTCCTGAGCGTCCAGGCCCGTCAGAACCTAACATACCACTGCCACCGCTCAGTGGCCTGGGCCGACCGAAGTGCCAAGAACAACCACAAGAGGGCGCTGCACTTCAGAGGCGCCAACGACGAGGAGCTGAGCTACGAGACCAACCCGTACATCAAAGCGTTGATGGACGGCTGCTCTGTGAGTCCACCGCTGGTTCTGGTCGAAATGTGGAGAAAATGATAAAACAGTCTGTTTTTTATAAAATTACAGAAACATTCAGCAACTTAACTCTAACCTCCATCCGAAGAGCTGAAAGGATCAATTGGATTAATTGTGATACGTTGATTATTGAAGTAATTTTCAACTAATTTAGTAACTGATTAATCATTCAGTGGAATATACTGAATATTGACTCTAAAACATGCAATTTGATAAAAGAACAACAAAGTCAGAGCAGCAATTGAGCCAGAACTGCTAAAAAAATACATGTTTTACACTCAGCACATAAAAAATATTTTGTCTGTAGATCATTTCTACCCAGAATTTCTCATTTTTCATGCTTTGCGTCCAGTTATAAATCAGTTAATCCAAAATCAATGGCCAGATCAGATCGATGTCAAGTCCAGCAGAAATCTGTTTTAGCTGCAGATTCATCCTTTGCTACAAAATATCAAATGTTCACTAAAAGAATGCTTTTATTGCCTATTAGGCAATAAAATGTCCTTTTCTAAAAAATTTACTTATTTGTCTATTTGCATTTTTAAAGTAATCTTAATATTGGATAAAGTAAGATGAAGTATTTAAATGCAAGATTTGCACAATATTTTTATGTGAATAAAATAATCAATCACTAAAATAATCGTTAGTTGAAGACAACATTTTCCTTTATCCTCCCTATGTGGATCAGCTCAGATATGCAATATTAACAAGTTAAACTCATCGAGGCTGATGAATGTCTCTAACGTTGGACTTGCTCTGTCCTGCAGTATCGTAAAGGCTTCGACAGGACAGTCCTGGAGATCAACACGCCGCAGCTGGAGCAGCTCCCTCTGCTGGACATCAAGGTGACAGACTTTGGGGAGAGCAACCAGCAGTTTGGCTTTGAAGTGGGACCTGTCTGTTTCCAGGGCTAAACACACAAACACACACCATGCAGAACACACACCAACACACACACACACGCACTTAAACATGCACACGTGATCAACACACATGCCCAGTAATTTGTAAATTAACTTGTAAATGACATTAAATACATAAAACCCACACAGAAACACAAACTCACTCTCACTTATGCGCCTCGGGAAACATTTCCCCAGCAGCTAACGGACTTAAAAACACAAGAGAAGTGAAATAAAACTTGTGAAGAGGAGAACGACGACTGGGAGCGTGACGGCATAGAAGGAGGAAAAAACCAGGAGGGAACATTCCTTGGAATAAAACATTATTTTGACGAGCAACAGGAAGGGTCCCGGCCTGATGCGGAAGATGGAGCCGGCGGCACGAGGCCTGCAGCTCCCTGGTCTCCAGTCCCACCTCACTCCTCCCACTCCCACTTCCTCCACCCAGATCTCCTGCTCTACCTCCCCCACCTCTTTCTGAAAAGAGAGTCACATGCAAACTTCATTTCCAGGTTCATCCTGCAAAGCAACATGATTAACAAACACTTTGAAAAGAGTAGCAGCTGTCTTAAATAAAATGTTTTATTTACTTTGGTTCGCAGCTTTCCTGTTGTACAACAACTTGAATAAAAGTTATAGACATTTTTGAAGTGCCTTGTTTTACCTCATGAATAAAATCTGAATTCAGGCTGAAACAGTGGAAACAAAACTCAGATTTGAACCAGAAACAAACGTTGTTGCACATCTAAACTTCAGGTTATTTCTGCTGGGTGTGAACTCGTTTTGTTTCCTCATGTTAATCATGTTGCTTGCATGAAACCTCATCCTGTTTCACATCAGGAGGAACCAAAGAGTTGATGTCACCAGATCAAAACAGGGGCCTCACCACATGACCTCTGCAGGGTCTTTATTATCTTCATCCTGAGCTTCTATAAAGTGAACTTTCCGCTCCGTAAAACATCATCGACACCCTGAGGTTTTACCTTTCATTGCCTGACATGATTCCCTGCTCAAATGATTATTAAAATCTGTCTTAAGGTGCTTTTAAACTCAGCATTTTTGTTCGTTGGATAAACTTGCAGACATGAAAGAAGAGCTGATGCCTCCATCAGTGAAGTTAAAGCCATTTTTATAAGCTGTGCTGAACATGAATGAAAGAAAACAATCCAAAATGGCCTCAACATACATGTGCAGTGACTGTCTGTATGTAAACGCTCCCTTTTCATTTGTAGGAAAGATTTACTGAATTAAACTGTGTGACAAGGTGCTAATTATACAAAACTCCATTTTTTTAGTCTCTTTTCTATTTCATAAAGCGTTTTAGGAGGGAAATGTGCATTACAGTACATTTGTACAGAAATAGCAATATTTTATTGTATTTATTTAAAACAGGGTGCTTTGAGAATAAAATAAGAACTATTATTTCAGACAGATGTGTGTTTCAGTTCTATTTATTTTAAAGCGGCTCAACTGAAGCGATTGATTTGCATGTTATAAACTCAGTCAGCCGGAGCCGCGATGCTTCTGTCCACACCCTGAACAAACTTCTGTTGTACAACCAAAGAATCTGTGGCCGCGACTTATTGTAATATCCCTTTTATAATGTTTTTATCAGCTGTACTGTGCCTTTAAATGTTGCTTCCACTATATTGATTAAATGGTGACTCTCCAGTTCTGTCACATTCCTGTTTCCTTGCTAGCAATAAAGTTTACAGAGTCCATTCCTGCAGCTCCTGCAATAAAAATAACACTAAAAAACGATCAATTTCTGCCTGAGACCACAGGGAGGAGAGGGAGGCGGTGATGGGACTGGATAAACATTTGTCAGCCAAGATGGAGTGAAAAGTGATTTCTAAAATTATGGGGTGATTTTTGACTGGAGTTCTGGTTTGGTTTGTTTATTTTTTTTGTTTTGTTTTTTTTTAAATATAGCAGTAAAGCGGGGAGGGACGACCAAAAGCTGAAACCAAAACAATCTGTCCTTCTCCTTTGAGAACGACCTCAAATATTTGTTATTGCTGTGTTGAAGACAAAAAAAAATACGGTGCTGAAAAGTTTTATTTTATAATGTCTGTAAGTAATTTTTTAAAAAGTTGGTTTGGTTAATATATAATCTTTTTAAAAGGAGATGTTTGAGTCTTTGTTTTTCTTTCAATTATTGCTTTTCGCCACAGCTACAATTAATGCAAATGACCACCAGGTGTCGCAGGTGGAATTTTAATAATTTCTTGATATTTTTCTTGCAGATAAATATTTTTCTAAGTTTTTGCCTGAACTTACAGAAGTTTCTAAAATGTTCTGTTGAAATTCAGAACTTAATATGGCAAAAAAAATAATAAATCCCCAGAAAACAATTTGTTCCAATTTCATCAGCTGAATCTATGAAAATTATCAAACATAATTCACTTATTTTCCTCCTTCAGCACCACTGTGCAGAATAATACCAGAACAAGAAGCACAAAGTGCAAAAACAAACAAACAAAAAACAGTTATATAAGACCAGCAGGAAACATGGAGACAAATTAAGAATAATTAAAAAGTTTACAAGTTTTCAGTAAATTTCTCCATCTGTTAGAAACTATTTTAAGTTTGAACTGGTTCATTTTCCATGGACCTAACTTTATATATTATTGATAAAATATATAGAGTAATGATTTAGCTTGAAAACATGAGTTTTCTAACTTTATTTATATTGATTGATTGATTTGATTTCACCAAGTTAAAGCTGCACATTACCTTTACTTCACTCTAACAGCACCACCTAGTGGTCATCCCGAGCTTCTGCTTTTCTGAGCTGTTCAAAGATTTAAAACAAATTAAAACGATTAAACAATATTACCTGAATTATTTAGCAACACATTAAGGAAACAAAATGAAACCATTAAAATCCTTTGATGTAATAAATAAATATCTTCTTATGTACAAAAATGACAAATTTGTGAATTTTGAAAGGAAAATGCATAAAAATGCTCATTTAAATCACTTTACTGACTGAAGAAGTAAAACTGCTTTGTAACCTTCGAGATTTTGTTTTTGTTCTAAATCCCTTTGTGTTTGAGTGAGAACAACAAACCGTTAGCTGATTGTGTTCAGAAGCAACATATTAAATCTTGAACATTTAATATGTTGGTCTTGTTTTTATGTTACATACAGATGTAAAGGTTGAATCCCAGCTCTGCCCAAAAATCAGAAATAAAAGAACAAAAAACATTTCCTGACTATCAGGTTTTAAATAAAATCTTTAATGGAGAAACGTTTCAATGTGTTTATTGATACAAAAGGTAGCTTCATAATTACAAATATTGTCCTATACAATCACATTTAAATAATCACTGCATTAATTAACTGTTTTAGGGAGGAGACATCTTCTCTTCAGGCTTCATTAACAGGTTGTTGTGTTTTAACCCATAAAAAGTCCACCTACAAAAGAAACACACATTTTACCTCCCATCTGTTCAAAGTGAGATATTTTAATTAATTTTAAATCCTGCAGAGAAGTGAACCACGCCCACCTGTAACCTCGACGCTGGTTCCTGTGATGTAGCGAGAATCATCTGAAGCCAGAAAGGCACAAACATCGGCGACTTCTGGAGGACAAAACAGATTCTGCCTCAAAGCTTCATCCAAAACCGTCACATTTTACATGTCAGTGGTTAAAACTTGCAGGAAGAAAACAAACAAAATAAATCTGGTGACTAAAGATATGCAGTGAAGCATCTGAACCAACCTGCAGGTTCACCCATCCTACCGAGAGGCACCAGGGACTTCATCTGAAACACAAACATTTATTCCATTTTATGGAAGTAGAGCAGTTTCTCAACTTTAAAGAAAAAATGAATGAAATATGAAAAACTGAAACCTGGAAACAATCTATTGGAGTCAACGAGACACAAGTTTTTAGTAAATATATTAATAACGGGGCTGGAGATGTGAAATTCATCATATTAGAAGTCAGTATTCAGCTAATACTTATTCAAAAAAATCAACACAGAGAATAAATGTATGTGCAGTAATGTGTAATATGTAATAGCAGGATTGTAATTCAGTCATATCATCTGAAACTCATATCTTGTGTTTCAGAACCGTCTGTAAGAGTCTTTACCTTGACTAGGACCTTTTCTGGTACTTCGTCTGTCATGGGAGTCGTTATGAAACCTGGCAACACGCAGTTACAACGAATCCCAAACCTGGAGGAGATAAAAAACATCTCAGTGTTTTTATCTCTGGTTGTTCCTGCAGCAGCAGCAGCAGCAGCTCCTCTGACCTGCTCAGCTCTTTAGCAGCCGTCCTGGTTAAACCTTCCACTCCGGCTTTAGATGCAGCGTAGTTCGCCTGGCCCAGGTTTCCCACCTGCAAACATCAGAAACTCACATTTTAAATCAGAGCTCAGATTTTTATGTCTTTTTTAGATGCTTAAAAGAGATGAGACTAAAAACAGAAGGTGGTGTCTGACTTTTCCTACGATGCTGCCCAGAGTAATGATGGATCCTTTAGCAGCTCCACAGCCAACCAGAGCCTGAGCCACAGCCTGGATCACCAGGAACGAACCCTGGAGAGGAAACGACACAAATCTGTTTAATCTGATCAATCATTCAATATATATTCAATAACCTGACATAAACTGACTGATGTTTTTGTAGCAGTTTTGAAATAAATGATACATATTTATTGTTCATTTTGTGTAAACATCTGAGGAAACTTTACTTTATCCTTATTTTATCATATTGTTAAAATCACCCAAAGACGTTTTTTATGTGTTTTACCTTCAGGTTGACCTGGATGACTCTGTCAAACTTCTCCTCCTCCAGGCTGAGCAGGAAGTCGTCCTGAGTGATGCCTGCAGAGTTCACACACACTGAGGGAGGCTGGAAGTAACGAGTCTGCAGAAAGAAAGATTTAAATTTTAAATTTAAAAAAAGGAGATGAAAATGTACAAAACTCCCTGCAGGAACCACGGACCAGCATTATGAAGCAGGATCAACATAACCAGGTTTTCTTTGAGAGATCTGTCTTAATTAACCCCGACTATTTAGACTCATACATGAATGAATCTACAAAACTCACAACTTTCTATCAATCTGGAAATGAAAAAACATCTATAGGTCGATGTCATTAAGTTTTATAATAATTTGTTCTTGACTTTCTTCAGATGGAGTTCAGTTCTTTAAACCCACTTCATGATGTCAAACAGGCTCTACATGAGTGACTTCTTGATTCTATACATATGACGTTTGTTATTTAATAATTTTGTAAAGAGAGCAATTACTTCTGCATATAGGAGCAGGTTGGTTTGTTTAGCTTTGTGAAAACTGCTTTATTTTGCTCAAGTCTAGCATGGAAATTTTAATACACTGAAACTTTTACGTGTAACGAAAAAAGTAAAACAGAAGAAACTATCTTGATAATACAGAAAATCTCAAACTTTGTCACTAATCGTGCTCTATAGAGCAGAGCTCCGTCTGATCCTCACACCTGGATTCTCGTCAGCAGATTCTTCACGCTCTCCTTTGACGACACGTCCACTGCAGCCGCCATGTGACTCTGACCTTTGAGGTCACTCTGCAGGCGTCCCACCGTCTCATTGGCTGAATCCTCGCTGATGTCAGCGACCACCACTGAGGCGCCTTCAGAGGCCAGGCGCTGAGACACGGCGCGGCCGATCCCGCTGCCTCCACCTGGGAACGGAGGAGACGAAGGTCAGGGAGGAACCTGAGCAGGACAGACGGATGAAAACCAGAACGGAGGAGCTGAGAGACACGAGGGACTTCAGAGAGGAGCAGATTTAGTTATTATTCTGCTCTCAGTGTCACATCAATACTAATTTTAGGGTCAATCTGCACAATCCCCTTATTTGGACTCAACACAAACAGAAAATTATAATAATGCTATTTAATGTGCATCAATTATATTCACTTCACATAGTGCTTTTTTATATTTAATTCTGTTTGGAGCATGTTTTTTAATCCACTCAATTTTTAGAAATTCAATTAAGATTTTTTTTAGATACACATTAAACATTCTGATCCAGATCATATTCTGGATATAAATCCACATTCAACAACTTTTTTTTATGAATCATTTTTGACTGAATTTTTCTGCAAACTGGAACAAGAAAAGTTAAAACAAAAGGACAAAATGATGCCTAATTTAGTTCAGAGCTGATTACGTCACCGATTGAGTTATTTGTACTCCAGCTAAAAACGAGCGACCATTGCATAAAATAGCACTAAATGTCCAACTTGATGAGTTTTTTTAATGTATGTTCAAATCTCTAAATTGTAATCATTCCTATATTTTGTACTGTAAAATAAAATTCAATTTAATCTGAAATCACATCTATTGAGTTTTTAGTCGCTACAAAATGTTTTTAATGCTCCAAACTTTCACCGACTTCGGATTTCGCGTTTGGCTTCAGCAAATTCTAAGATATAGAAATATGCGCAATATTTTTATTTAAGAAATTACATAAAACAACACGGAATATGCTTTAGTATTTAATATAGCAGCGGAATATCTAAATGTAGACTAACCAATGACCAGAGTCAACCTTGATATGAGCCTCATGGGGGCCGCCATGATGGTTTTCTGTTGTTGTAGTTTTTGGTTTGACCGGGAGAGGGCGACAAAAACCCGTCGGAGGTTGTGACTTTCATTCTATTTTTATTTGGTCATATTTTTGTCCTACAATTCCTCTATGTGACCACAAGAGGGCGGTGAACTTTTAATTTTTCTGGAAAGTTTTACATTTCATCTGTACATTTTAAAAATCCAACAAAATGTTCTATTTTTAATATAAATATTAAATCTTAAATATAAAAAGCAACATATTAGAAGAACCAAAAAGAGTTTTTTAAACAAAGTATAAATATAAACCAGCTTAGAAACAGTTTAAAATAAGTTTAAATGCCTTCGAAAATATATTGTATAGGATGGGCGTCTCAAAGACCAAAAATGCTATTGCAAATATTAAATATATATAAACAATTGTACATTTAAGGACTAGAGGTTTTGGTGTCATTCAATGTCGGAAAAAGTTGAGATTATATGAAAAGACTTAAATGTTTGTAGGTTTTGAGAATAAGAGAACATGAAATCATAAGATCTCAAGTCTGTTCAAAATAAAATAACTATTTTTGTCTGTTGTTAATCTTTGTCCTTACAACTGAAAACATCCACAAATCTGCCAAATAATGTGAATCAGGACAAAATTACGTTTTGTATTGTATCCACTAGATGGCGTCAACTACTTACTTAGTTTTTCATTTACAAAATTCAGGTTTTTTAAGACAAACGTAATGAATCTTTGAATTAAGTACTAAGATCAAATGAAATCTGAAGTAGGAAGAAGAGAAAGATTGATCCAAACAGTGAAAGGATGATGCATTTATTTATGTACAGATGTTCAGACAAAACAAGCAGAGGCATTAAGATTTCTGACAAACTTCAGAGCAAGACTGACATGTAGAGTTTTAAATCTCACAACTGGAGCAAATAAAAAAATCAGACCATAAAGGAAAACCACTCCAAGGTTTTGATTCTGTAAAATATGCACACCTTTATTATTCTGAGTGTGGATATTTCAGAAGACTAAACCCTTTCAATAATATCCATATTTCTTCTAAATAACTTAAAACACTATTTCAATCTGAAACCAAACAGAAAACCAAAATGCAACACATTATAAAAAGCTCTGTGGAATTGTCAGCTTAAACAATGCATCTTTACATTAATACCTCCTGCTTCCAGTAACTGATTTTGTTTTTCCACACAAAGTAAACAAGGTCAAAGGTCGAGCTGCAAGACAAAAGAGATTTCAGATTCTACTGACAACAAACTTGTTAGAGCTCAGATTGAATCTGTCCTTGTAACTGAAGTGAAGAAATGAAAAGAATCCAGAAGTTATTTGGGCACAGGTGAGTCGACAAGACACGTCCTCACAATTTATTAGCAGATTGGTCACAAAGAATAGAAACGCAACATGTTTACAGAGAACTTGTAATACATGGAGAAAAACAAACAGCCGACATGGGAACAGAAATATTGAAACTATGACACGTTTAGTTTTCTGTACAGCGACCGGCTGACGGGCCGTCGGCTCCTCTGTTGCATGCAGTCTGTTTTCTACTGAACCAAGGTGCTTCTGCGTGCAGAGCGAGTGCAGCGTCTGCTTCTAAACTATGAGGAACTTCACAAGGATGCACTTGTGGTGCCAGATTTCTCACACACACACACATGCAAACACACACACACCATACATTCATACAAAAACTTAACTCCCCTCTTATCACTCAAAAAAAAAATCTAAACAGCTTTCCCAGAATGAGGGAATAAATAAGCTCCATAAAAGGCTTCTTTATAAAAGAAAAATAGGTATTTATACATCTGTACATGTCGCCTATACAGCATAAAGACATGGAGCATGGTGAGAAGGGAAAAAAAATCCAGAAAATGCAGACATTCTGGCTGTAGCACCCTTATCCCTCCAACATATGCATCAATCTTTATCAGCAGGAGATGGAGATTCCTGTCGCTCCGCCCGGAACCAGCAGGCGCTCCAGTCGCTCTCCTCCGCTCACATTCATCTGCCAGGAAGTGTTCAGGGCCGCCGGACGGAGCCGAGCGCAGCGAGAGCCCGTCTCTGTCCGGACCCGGTGGGCCGGCCTCGACCCGTCCTCCGTTACATTTCAGTCCGCTCGGAGGGGAGGAGCACACCAGGGCGCCGCCACCGGACCCTTTTTGTTTGGAAACGGTCTGAGCGACTCGGACTCAACTGGAATCTGACTCGCTTGTGTCGGAGGATGACGAAGAGGAGGAGGAGGAAGAGGAGCCTGAGGAGGAGCTGCTGGCGCTGAGGCGAGACGGCTGAGCGTGAACGTCTGACGCAGGTTTATCATCTGGAGAGAAAAAGATCACATCAAAAGTTTCATTTATGTCATTCAACTGCAACCAGTGGCTGCATTTAATCATAGAAACAATATTTATGATCTGTTTTATTTATAGTCAATAAGTGAAAAGTATCAAGACAACAATAAAACAAAACTCATTAAATGAGTCACTATAGTTTAACTTACTTTTGGTCTTTGACGGTTTCTTCCCGGAGTTGAGCTGACCGCTGACGTCCATCAGTCGTCTCTCCAGCTCCATCTGCTTCTCCATGGCCAGCTCCTCCCGCGTCTTTCCAGCGCTGTTCTTTTTACTCGCTGCACAAAGACCAGAAATATTAGAAACATTGCGGCTGAAACCATTAATCAACTAATTCAGTAATTAATTAATCGTTTGCTGGAGTATATAAATTCTAAAAAAAGGCTTTTTGTTGAACAAACATATTCAGAGCCACAAAATGTACAAAAACTGTATTTAAGATTAAAAAATCTTTTGCCTTTAAATGTGTTCTAAGAAATTCAAATGTTTAGAATTGTCATCCAGATCAAACGTCCGTGTCTCCGCTCACCGTACGGCTTGCGCGGTTTCTTCCTCAGACACGTCATGACGTATCGCTCCAGCTCTCTGAGCGTCGACGGCTTCAGCGTCTCGAAGTCGATCTCGATCTCCTCGGGGTTGGTGTCCCTCAGCGACGGCTCTCTGGACTGGATGATGTAAACGACGCGGCCCAGCTTCTCGCCCGGCAGCTTGTTGATGTCCAGGCTCAGCTGGCGCTTCTCGTCGTACGACATGGGAACCGTGTCCTCCTCTTCATCGGAGTCAAAATGGCTGACCAGAGGGTCGTGCATCGGCTGGGACACGCTGAACATCATGTTGGTCTTTTTGGATCTGATGGAGCAGAGAGTCAGATGGAGGTTTGTAACAATGCAGCATTCAGTTTAAACTCTGCCCACCAGGTGGCAGTACTCACTTGCTCTTGTTGTTTTTCTTGCTCTGAGTCTTCTTCGCTGGTATGACGGGACAGCTGATGCTCTTGTTGCTCTTTGTCGTCTTTGAAGGCTTGGACATCTTGGGGGTTTTGGGCGGTTTCACAGAGACGATCTCCTCGTCCATCCTCCGATGTTTCTCTACTTTCTTCTTCTTTTTCTTGTCCTTCTTTTCCTTCTTCTTCTTGGGTTTGACGATGGGACCCTGAGAGAGCGCGGTGAGCTGCTCATGTACAGCCTTCAGCTGGAAAACAAAATAATTCAACATCAGGGACAGATTTTAATGAACCAGTGAAAGACTTGAAATTGAAAAACAACTTTAGTCACATGGAACATTAGATAAGAACATTTAAAAACATGCCAGTATCAGAATCAAGGTCTCAGCCTTGGAGTTTTTTACCAGAGCGAGAAAAGCAGAAATATTCACTAAAACTAACAGAATAAATGCTGCTGGTATCTCACTCTAAATTACATAAACACAGTACATTCAAATTCATGTTTAACTAAATAAACTTTTAGATTTGTATGGAAACAACCCATCCTTCTCCTTCATAGGCTGTTATGGTTCTATAGACGTGCAGAACCTTCTGGACCGGAACCAACCTGCTCCTGCAGCTCAGCCAGCCGGTTGGCCCGTTCCTCCTCGGAGTCGGAGCTCAGGCTGCTGTCGCTCTCCTCGCTGTCGCTGCTGAACTCGCTCTCAGAGGAGGAGGAGGACGAGGAAGAGGAGGAAGACGAGGATGTGGGAGGTGCTGGAGGCTCGTCGGGCATCTTAGCGAAGCAGAACTCAAACACGTCCTAAAAGACGGAATAAAAACCCGTCAGTCAGTCAGTCGATATATTAAGAAACAGACATTTCAGCTGCTGGCTCAGTTAGAGGGAAGTTTTGCCTTTTCAAACCAAATTTAGATCATTTTCTTTATTAACTGACCTTTAATTGAAATGCATCGTTACATCATCGCTATTCTGAAACTATTTTTTTTTCTATTTGCTTTTTTGTTTCACAAATTTGTTTTGTACATTATTTGGCAAAGAAAAAATGCATTTTGTACATAAATTGTAAAACATTGTACTAATAAATAAATCCATTGGGTTTCAGTAAGTGTAACTGTATAAATGTTGGGTTTTGCATCAACTTCTATTAATGACTAGCTGGTCTCTTCTGTAGAAGAAAAATCAAATCGATACGTTTCACAACGTGTTATTGTGCATCAGCTCTTTCTTTACTGCTGCAAAGTATCATAAACTTCATTTATTCATATCTAATGCAAACAGACTGAGAAGAATCACCTGGAGTTTCCTGGCCATGGCGACCACGTCGTGATCTGGAGGGTTGTACTTGTAGCAGTTGGAGAACATGAGTCGGACGTCGGCGGAGAACAGCTGGGCGTCTCTGTACTCTCTGCTGTCCATCTTCCTCTGCAGAAACAAACGGGTTCAGATCCACTTCCTGTCTGACAGAAACAGTCGCATGCTGACTGCTGTACCTTAATGGTGCTCAGGTCCATGGGCTGCTTGATGATGTCGTGGTAGTCATGGAGCCCCAGCGACATGGCGTCGACGGGCTTGTAGAAGGGCCAGGCGTACGCGGCGTGCTTCTTGGACAGCAGCTCCTTCAGGACGTTGCTGCAGTAGCGCAGCTGCGGCGTCAGCTTGCTGCGGCGCACCGGCGTCGGCAAGATGGAATCCGGTAAGTCCTTCTTGGGAGGCTTGATGGGCCGGCCGCTC